TCAGGGTTGCCCTCTTCATTTCTGTTCAACTTTGTTATAGATTTGACTATGGAAACAGCCCTATCCTCGTGCGAGGATAGTGGCATCGATTTACTCCCAGGTGGCAGGCTGCCTGATCTAGAGTACGCAGACGACATTGTGCTACTAAGTGAAGATCCAAGTAAGTTGCAAGCATTTTTGGATAACTTGAATGCCAGTGTAGTCATATTCGGTATGCGTTTTGCACCTTCAAAGGGTGAAATGTTACTACAAGACTGGGTTGGTCCAGCACCCAGCCTCACTCTAGCTGGGGAATTATTAGAGCAGGTAGAGAAGTTTTGTTATTTGGACAGCTACATCTCACTCGGCGGATGCTTCACGGCTGAAGTGTCAGCTCGCATACAGAAGGCTCGGTTGGTATTTGCCAACTTGAAACATTTGTGGCGCCCGTCGCGATATCCGGCTGTCTGTGAAGGGTCGAGTGTATGCCGCGACAGTTCGGTCAGTTCTGCTATACGGTGCAGAAACTAAACTGTTAAGAAAACAGGATAAAGACAGACTGTCGGTGTTTGAACACCACTGTCTACGCAGAATTGCACGAATCTGGTGGGGTAGCCGGATGAACAATGTTGAGGTTAGGGGCAGAGTTTTGGATATCCGCGGTCGCCAACTGGAGCAAGTGGTCGACCTCCATAGATTAGGTTGTTTCGGAAATGTGTTACGCATGTCACCAGATAGGTTACCACGGCGAGCGATGTTCACCGAAGCAGACATCGAGTGGTAAAAAGCCAAGGGTGGTCAAGCTAAGACCTGGCACGAGGGTATGAAAACCCTAACCAGTAGACTGTCTCACATCGGTCCTGTTAGGCTCCTTGGCTTGGGACCTCGGGATGATCGTAACCGATGGTTAGAGACAGTGAATGATATGGCTGGGTGTCGNGTCGTACACAGTGGCGTTCGTGCATCTCCTCAATTTCTTTGCAACCTTAGACCACTGAACTTCTCCATTTTCTGTTCGACTCCACTTCCAACTTTCCTTTCTTCTCCTATTCTTCATCCCAATGGGAAGGCAAAAGACAGCAACCAAATCCGGTGCACGTATATACGTGGTTAATGGTTATACAAAGTAAAACTGAAACTGAGTGTTTTGCACCAAAGGTTGCTAACTGCGACCTGGGGCTGCAGTCACTGGTCGTCTGCGGCCGCTTATTTAGTCTGTTTCGGGTGAACTACCAGTTTGACGACCCTTACCCTGTCCTCAACCTGGTGACGGGCACGGTAACATGCAACTCGTCGTCGACTCAAATTAGCCCCGGTAATTTTTGACTGCGCAAGAAAGAAAGAAAACCTATCGGAAATGTATAGTTATCGCCAGTATCTGATTCATCATCGATGGCGGTTTACCCATGATCGGCTTTCATGTCTACTGCATCGAGAATGCAGCATACAGTTCAGTTCAGTTCAGTTTGAACAACTATTTACCACGCATATTCGAGCGCCGGTTTTGGTTGCTGTCTTTTGCCTTCCCATTGGGATGAAGAATAGGAGAATTTGGTTGCTGTCTTTTGGCTGCCCATTTGGATGAAGAATAGGAAAAGAAAGGAAAGTTGTGAAGTGGATTCGAAAGAAAATGGAGAAGTTCAGTGGTCTAAGGTTGCAAAGAAATTGAGGAGATGCACGAACGCCACTGTGTACGACACCCAGCCATATCATTCACTGTCTCTAACCATCGGTTACGATCATCCCGAGGTCCCAAGCCAAGGAGCCTAACAGGACCGATGTGAGACAGTCTACTGGTTAGGGTTTTCATACCCTCGTGCCAGGTCTTAGCTAGACCACCCTTGACTTTTTTGCAGCAGCATACGCTAGAAGTCAATGTGGATAAACATGTGATTTGATATTTTGAATCTGTCGAACCGGATTTTGCGCATGTATTATTTATATTTCTTGTATTGGAATGTGAGCGTTAGGTATTCTCCCAATCCTGGAAATGCATTTTCCCCCATCAGTCTGTGGCGACTTGCTAACTGCTCTGAAACCCAACGTTGTGTGAATCATTAGTGGTTGCATTCAAACCTATGACCAAATGTGCGGATTACTTGAAATGATTTCTCGTCCCGCTAGCACATTCGCGTTGATTATCGCAAATTTGTTACACATCCCTACTCCATGGCTTTTTTTGTCTCATCCGCTGAATCTGCGACTGGTTTAGGTTACGGTGTAAATAAACTGTATTTGTTTCTCACTTGTGCTTCATCATACCCAATCTTGTAAATTGTATGTTTCGCTTTCTCTCTCTGTGTGTGTGTGTGCGT